TCTTTCCCCTTGATAAAATTCACCAAACATTCTCTTTATTCCAGCTTTAAATCCTCAATCCTGAGAATCGTTGCCAAAGAAGAATGTCTGACTTCATCTACATCCATCTCGACCACTTTGTTTACTGTTGTGCTGTACCACAAAAGGGATCCAGACAGGCGCTTGAGTTTGATGTCATGGCTTCACAGATCTTCGCTGATTGGCCTGTGTGCGGTCTACAACTTCTGGGCTTCTTGCAAACCTTCTAGTGTATTGCGATTCCCGACCTAGTCGCTGGAGAGAAATAAAACTGAGCGGAGGCACTAGGTGGTGCCAGCCTGGCCACAAAACCCTGCCCACACACATCAACCTCACCACGTCACTGGCTCAAATGTGTATTGGGAACCTGACAAAGATCTAAAAAAATCCAACTTGCAGCTCTGGGTTAGTTGAACACAAATCAAACAAAACCCTGAAGCAAACCCAACTTTTTCTGGCCCCAAACTTTGACATTCCATCACTCATTTTAATGCACGTTTTTGACAAAAGGTGATGGAGGCCCAGTAAACAGTTTGTGTGTGATTGTGAGGAGTAAATGTTACCAGTCGCCTGTAGACATGCTCATGGTGCACTGCAGGGGGCGATTACCAATGCCCCATCCATCTACCAAACTCACTATCCCACCAGCAGAGAGAGAAGCAGAGAGAGAGAGAGAGAGAGAGAGCGAGAGAGAGACAGAGAGAGAGAGTGTGAGTGAGAGAGAGAGAGAGAGAGAGAGAGAGAGTGAGAGAGAGAGAGAGAGAGAGAGAGAGAGAGAGAGAGAGAGAGAGAAGAGAGAGAGGAGAGAGAGAGAGAGAGAGAGATAAGGAGAGAGATAGAGAAAGAGATAGAGAGAGGGAGGAGAGGGACAGACACTGAGTGAGAAGAGAAAAGGTGGAAAGAGAGAAAGGGAGTAAGAGAGAGATTAAAAGAAAGAGAAACAAATAGAGAGAAAGAAAAAAGGTTAGAGAGAGACAGAATCAGAGAAGGGGACAAGAGTGGAAGAACGAGAGAGGGGGAGAGAAAATATAGAGGGGAGAGAGGGGGGCCTGTTTGGAAGACAGCACGGAAAAAAGCAAAGGATTACTCGCCAGCGCTGATTAGCTGGCAGCTTAACAACATGCTGTGTTTTCCATCACATCCTATGACCCCAGGCAAAGGAGGCAAATGAAACGGTATTTTTGTGATTATTTGAAGAGAGGAGAGAGAGTGAGAGAGAGAGAGGGAGAGAGTGAGAGAGACGAAAAAGAAGAAGGGCTGGTAGCGATGACATGAATATTCAATTTAGGCAATTACAAGCTGTCCTACTTGGGGAGGCATGAGGGATATGACAAGCAGCGTGAAGTCATTTCTGTCAGTGCAATGGGGAAAAGTCCAAACATGTCAAATGGGAATCTTTAAGGGAAATATTCTATAGAAAGTTGTTAATGTAGTTTTTCAAATGGATTACAAAGCATGAAAGAACGACTGTAGCCCAGATTGTGCCTACAGCCAGTGTATCAGACAAATAATGGAGACGGAAACACTTTATTCAGCTTAGTTGGTCTTACTAAAGCATGAACAAAGGCTTCATTCATATTGAACAAATAGTTTTTTTAAATAAATAAATAAAATACAATAATTATTCAGGCTTAGTAACTACTTAACGCGTGACCGTAACCCCATAGTTACGAAGCCTGAACCATTCATCATAAAAGATTTGTTCATTATGAATCTAATTTTCATGCTCTATTAAGACTAATTAAGGTCTAGTTATTATAATGTGTACTTGGAATGGTGAAAGTCCCATATTATGCTATTATGTACTTTTTTGTTATGTTATTTTCTCTAAAACAACATACCTGGAGTTGTGCTTTTTCATGCACATGTCTTGAATAATGGTGCTATTTAGGTCGGCTTCCTTCAAGAGTTCAAAAGACTTTCTTCCACCAAAAGGATCATTTTATTTTAAAGAAGTCATATTGTGCTTCTATGTTTGCGCTGGTTATAACCTACGACACCCTTGATTTATTATGTTATAATTTGCACATCACAATATTCACCAAAACAAATAAATAAAGAAAACAAATCTGCTGTCTTCCGCGTTGGAAATCAATGGTGCCCAATAGAAGCAAATGTCACTGTAAACGTCATCACACCAAAGATGTGTAGCTGACTGACTGATTGAGCTGCACATCTCACTAGTGTGCCACAGAGGTCTATGTGCATCACCGTTTTAAAAATAAAATTGTAGCATGAAGTAAGTAAAGAGCAGTGTACGTATGCCAGTGGTGGTGAAAGTGAGAGCTGATCGGCAAAATGGAGTCTTGTAAATAAGTGATTAAAGATTACTCAAACATGCAGGAATCACTCCCAATACAACTTCGAGAGGGTAAATGGTGAGAGGAAACAACTAAAACATGGTTAAAAGCTCTGAAAAGTCAATTTGGCATAATGCTTAACCCCATTGAGTATGTTTACTATCGGGATCTATTAGTAAATAGTTAGCGTCTAAAATAATTAATAAAACATGAATAAGAGAAATGGAGCTGTTATGATCATGGATAGCTACAGGATCTTGCTTGCACGCAACATGTGGTTTTCTGTGCAGCATTAAGTCATTGTTTATGAAGTCAATATTTACTCCTGTCAATTTCCAATCCTTATTCCGAGTATTTTGGGCTCTTTTTTGGCTTAAACAAAAATAAATCAAGGAAAACCAGAACTCTGTGAGATGAAGGCACAGCGGCTCAGTGGATCGCACTCTTTTTCCCAATACAATAATTTTTAAATGTTTAGGATAATACAATGGGTGAAAAAGTGATTTTGTAATGCCAATGTATAGTCCAGGTCAGTGTTGGGGAGTAACTGAATATATATATAACAAGAACTTTAAGTAACTCTATTCCAGTACATTTTTCATTTATTCAGAATTACTTTTCTAAACTCAGAAGAATACATTGTGATACTTGATCATGCAATTTAGGCTTCAAAATACTATAACACTACTACAACACTGCTCTTGTCTTACAGTACATGCATGTGGGGATATTTCCTTCTCCATGCAGTGATAGGAAATGTATAAGCTGTTTTAAATCATATGTTTTTACACCATAATTTAAATGTAACTCACTGTAAAAGTATTCTTAGTATTCAGAACACAATACTCTGATTAGACCATGTATCAGACTACATTACAATGAATTTGGGGATTCAGTATTTTGTAACTTAATACATTTTCAAAGTATTCTTACCATCACTTTTCCAGGTTATTATTAAATTATGCTGGAGAATTTTAGACTATAGAGGGCCACCGTAGTCTCCTCTATTAATGGAACATACTGCTAACATCTATAGTATAATGTAATTCAGTTTTGGGTTGCTCCTTACCATTTGAAAACTATAAACACAACACACAAATGCCATTATCAGAATTGTACAGCTCAGTTCAGACCTGGAGAGTGTGAGCTGCAGGGCCCCATTTCCCTTTTATCATTTCTGATTAAAACGAGTCTGTGCGTGTTCAAAAGGCCTGTTTTATAATCAAATCTTCCTGACGTACATTTTATTAAGCGCCCGCTGCTATTCTCTATGTGGGCTGGATGTGATTGTGGCGTGGCAGTGACGGAGTGGCGTGCTTAGGGGGATGAATGGCGTTTTCTGGCTCATTGCTTTCAAATGACTAGCCTGGTATCATTGTCAATGCTGAGAGAGAGAATCTTTAGATAGATCTCCCATTGCCTTTTGCGCTCATTGAGAAGGCATAGGAATCAGTTACTACATATATTGTATTTTGTGGTATGTGCAGTTTTGTAATAATGGCATAATATTCATTTTATCAGCCCTATATTGATCTAAGTATAGTTGATAAATAGTCTGTGCAGTCTTGGTGACAAACATCAGGGACGGCATCTGGTTTAAAATGGGTCTCAACAGCTGTAATAATCTATACATTTTGTGATATTTGGGTCATGTTAATGAATAAAAAAAAAAAAAGGATTTATCCTATAGATGAAATAACCTAGCCATAGTTATTCAATAGTTTGTGTAATCTGTTGTTATATAAAGCATCAGGGAGGGCATCTGTCTTAAAACATAGGACAACAAAACAATTGTAATTTGCGATACATGACATATGTGTGAGTGAGTAAGAAGGTATGTGCTTATGTGTATGGATGTTTGTTGTTTTTAGAATAGTATTTATATAATGTGACCATAGAAATCCATGTATCATTCGTTCATTATTTTTTTCAATATAAAACCAATAACAAGAAAAAAAAAACAAAAAACAGTTTTCTTCATTATTTGTCTCCAAAACCAAAATGAAAAAACGGATAACGGCCATTGACTTAAACTGCGATGCCGGACTTTTGCGCCATAGATGGATTGAATCAGGACTAAACCAGAACTAAACCGTTTTCAGTCCTGGTCTGGTCCCAGTCTCAGTCCCAGTCTGGTCTCGGTCTCTGTCCTTGTCTGGTCCCGTTCTCAATCACGGTCTGGTCCTGGTCTGGTCCCGGCCTCAGTCTTGGTCTCAGTCCTGGTCTTGGTCCCGGTCTCAGTCCTGGTCCTGTTCCCGGTCTCAGTCCTGGTCTCAGTTCTGGTCTCAGTCCTGGTCTAAGTCCTGGTCTAAGTCCTGGTCTCAGTTCTGGTCTGGCCCTGGACCTGGTTTAGTCCTGGTTCAGGCCGCATGCGGCTCAAAAGTCCGGCATCGCAGTTTAAGTCACAAAAACAGGAAATGGCCATTATTCGTTTTTTCCCAATATTCATTTAAACACAAAATCGAAAACTGAAAAAAAAAAAAAAAAGAAAAATCATTATCTGTTTTTTTCATTTTGGTTTTGGAGAAAACAGTGTTTTTTTTTTCATTTTCTTATTTTTGGTTTTATTTTGAAAAATTTATGAATGAATGATACACAGATTCATAGGTAATATCAGTTTTATTTATTTGTCATTTATTTATCTATGTATTTTGAATCTATATTTTCAATATTTCCACCAACCTGCTCATGGACTACAGATGTAAATTAGCATTTGCGCTCATAATCTGGCAGCAGCATCTCTCCTATGACTTTGGTTTTGTTGTACACTGCCCCTGTACAAATAAAAGCATACTATATTAAAACATGGTAAGATGTATACTTAGATCTGAAATCAATAAGATAACACATGGAGAATTATATATTGGAACATTATCATTTTAAAATAATTTAAAATATGAGAACACTTCAGCCGTAGTAGGTAGACTGTGTGTGTTGGTGTCAAACCCAGATATACAAAGCATCAGGGAGGGCATCTGTCTTAAAAAAATGTTTCTCCTTGCATGAAAAAAATCACCAGATACCCCAGATATAAAAAAAAAAGATAAGATGTATGCGTGTATGAACTCAAATCAATAACATGATAAATTGAGCATTGCACATTGATAAATCACGACTGCCAGGATTTTGTCACTGCCAAATGACAAAGTATACGCTGAAAATCTACTCAGCGCTTTCTCTTCTTTCTGAGGCATTTTTCCGAGAGCATGGCGCCCCCAACGTCATGGTTTTCTTTCCCCGGAGCTGGATCTGCCCGAAACTGAGTGGGGGATGGGACTGGGATGAGAAAAGGAGAGGAGGAGAGAGAAAGCGAGAGAGAGAGAGAGAGAGGAAGAGGAGGGGGGAGAGGGTAGAGCGTGCCAGGCTTTTGAAGGAGGCGGAGGAATTTTGCAGGTTGCCACGGAGAAGCAGTCGATAACGCGTCAAGCCACTTAGCTGCCGCAAACTAACACCAAAAATCCCCTCTCTGCCTTTGCACCTGCGAGACAGAGCGGAGACAGGCATCACGCCGTAGGAAAACTGCGCTGTTTACGAGGCCACGCCCCTTAGTTACTGTTGCTACCGGTGCTTACCTTTAAGATAACTCAATTTCTCATGCACATGTTTGGTTTATATGATGTGTTCATGGTTTAGAGGGTCACAATACTAAACTATGTCTATTTCGATAAGAAGGAAAAGCTGTAATACTAGATACTAGAGCTGGATATCATTAAGATGCATCGTTTGTTAATACAATACATACCTAAATACATAGGGCACGATATAATACTCTTTTCGATACAGTGCATTTTTGATTCAACACAATTTGATACGATATATTTTAAACTGATTTGATACAGTTCAGTGAAAAACAAAGGCTAAATCATGGCTGTGATACTAAGTCCACTAAGTCTGTGCAAACTTAAGATGAAAAACAGTGAAAATGTCAATATATACAAATACAAATATACCAAAAAAATACTCTTGACGATATACTGATACAGCAGCCTATGATATCGATACTGTATCATCAAATTAAACAATACAATATCGATATTTCAATATTTTTGCACACCCCTCCTGATTACAATACAATTTCTTATAAAAATGTATTAAACTATAGAATGTAATATGAAACACAATATAAAAGTGTTTTGTTTTTTTTTAATATGTAATTTTTACCATGTAATCCTAGAACAATTATAATACAAATAAACACCTTATTAAACTGCTCAGGAAAGGTAAAAAAAAGAAAAAAAAAAAAAAGTGTTTTTTCTCAGTATCAGCACTAGCTTCTAATAATTTTTTTTAGTTTTAGTTTTAGTCCATCTAGGTATTGGTAGCCCACTTGAAAATGTTGAACAGAGCTGCAGGACACTAAATACAAAACCTTATAAGGGTATGTCCTTTTAAACACTTTTAAATATTAAGCTTTTGTTATGAATTCTTTTGGACAATTTTAAACAGAATCTACAATCACAGCCATTTGTATCTTATAAGCCACGACTTCAAGCTAAAATTAACAGGAAAGAATAAGCAAACATAACATATAAAAAGACACAGGGACACATCTCATAACATATTTTGCAAATATAAAGTACTACACCAAATCATTCCTTGTTGTTAATGTAGCACTCTAATAATAATTGTGTTAAAATCTATTATTAAAGGGACAGTTTGGAATTTTTGACATAGGACCTCATTTCCTAGTGAGCCAGAGTGTTGGAGACATGTGGAGACACTTTTTAAATATTCCATTAGTCCTTGTATTTGCAGAGTTTGCTGGTGCTAGGCTAGTGCATGTCAATGGCCATAGTTCATGGATCTATTTAAATAACTGGATGGGGTATTGCTGCTTGTAGCTGCCTCCAGTTGACATAGTGGTCACTCACTGGAACTTCAGTGGAAAAAATCCCATGGGCTGAGAGAGGATTTTTCTCATAGAGTGCAATGTAATCACAAACAGCTTGTGTTCGGCTGACGGGGTACCTACAACTTTCAAAAATGTCAGATTTTGTGGCAATTTTTACCTATTTTTCTATCATAAACTTTTTCTCAGCTCAAAGCCCTTCAGTTGTCTTAAAAAAAAAAAGCTTTATAATTGTTAAAAGAGAAAAGAGCACTGCTGCGCATGCTCAGTCGGCCCACAGCCACCAGAAGTACCTTGCCAGGCTAAAGGCTAATCTGGAATCATGCATCATTGAACTCGGCCCATTGACTTGAATGGGCGGCCATTTTGAAACCCTGGGGCTTGCCATACTTAGTGTGCCACAAAAACAATCTTACCCACTCCACAAAGCACCTGAAGCAAATCTATTATTACACCATCCTATCGATGTAAATGTCTGTGTTGATAGAATAATGTTTGAAATAAAACTAACCTTGCCTCATATGAATCGTCACATGTTGAGGGCACAGACCGTATATATGAGTGGACGTTGCTAACGTGCTAGCCGCCACATACGAAATAGGAGGTACTCCAGGAGGCTCTTCTGGCTCCTTCTGACCCTGGCTCCAATTGACTTATTTGAGGATGTTGTCTCAACTCTCTCTGTACCTACTGCAGTGAGCCTCCTCATTTTGGTCTTAAAATGTCTGTATTAACCTGCTCTACATGATACTGAATTTTTTCTCGCTATTTTGTCCGTCAAAAAAATCCTATTCATAACATAGACCCTGCTCCAGATTCGCTCCTGTAACCGATCGCAAGCCTAGTCCACTTCTTTATACAGTCTATGGTTGAGGGACTATTTTCTCTTATATCAGTCCGCCACTACCAAGCTTTCTATCAGGAAGAACAACTCACTGTTGCTGCTCAGACATAAATCCTTCAAATGCAACGTTGGATTTACTTCTAAAATATTCTTTTGATGCAGACATTCACATCGACAGTCTGGTGTTAAGATTGTTTTGCTTCATGTGTTTTGTGGAGTGGGTAAGGCAGTTTTTAGTGGCAGGCTAATTATGGCCATTGACATTGCACTAGCCTAGCACCAGTGACCTCTGCAAATACAAGGAGTGAATGGAATATTTAAAAAAAGTGTCTCCACATGTCTCCAACACTCTGGCTCACTAAGAAATGAGGTCCTATGTCCTATGTGTGAACTGTCCCTTTAATGAGTAAAATATGACATGAGGTAAAATCTTTTATAGTGGAATTTGCATCTGCATTTCATTCAAGTAAACATTGGCAAACTGCATTTCATTGTAAACAAGTCTAAAGAGCCAAATTTCTACACTAAAAATACACTTTGCGTACTTTAACAGCACACTCTCAAATATATGATGCCGGGGCACTAATAATTCACCACAACTGGGCCAGCGTGGTGAATGGTGTTGTTCATCTTTGTGTATACATTTCAGGGTGGATTTAGCAAACAGTCAATTATGCAGCGGCCCATATAAACAAATGGAGCAGACAGCGACTCAGTGTTCCCCACCCACCTCCTCCACAGCTCACAGCCCAGCAGACAGGAACCAGAACACCTCCTGAACGCCACTGCTGCTGCTGCTTCTGCTGTGAGACTGGAAACTACACATCAACAAGCTGTAAATACAACCTGTCTCCACATTTTCCTTTGCACTTATTCCTTTGGCCTATTTGCAGAAATGTGATGTGATCAGCTGTTATGTTCTTAAATTGCAAAAGGTAAACCCCAAATAACACCCCGCTCACAGTCACAAATGCTTGTTTTACTAGATATTTTTGAGCTATAAAACCACCTGTAATTGAATAAATGTAAGGTAGAGCTGTTTAATGTCACTGTGGAACATTCCAGGCAGAGCACTGACATCTCCATAGAAACAACCAGATGACAGAGCGCAACCAAATAGTAAGAAGTAAAGACAAATAGTAAGAATGATTCAGGATTAAGTAACAAGTTAATTAAAAGGTTAGGGTTCAGAGTTAGGGTATTAATTGTGGTTGCTAAGCCTGATTAGTTCTTAATAGGCCAGTCATGATAATTACTATGTAGATTTATCGTTCAATATGGTTGAACAATATTTCAGGCTCAATAATTATCACATGTATTATTAGTATTTTTTGTACTAGTAGGATTTTATTTTTGCAGTATTAAGCCTATCTGATAACATTTGAGCTGGAGTTGGTTCAATACTCATTCTATGCTTCTTCCTCTTTTTTGAACATTGAAAAAAAAAAAAAAAAAAAATTCTTTCTTTTTCTTTATACCTGTTTTGAATGGAGCCTATGTTTTATGGAGACTATGATGTGCTTCCTTACGTTTTAAATGTTCAAATAAAGTAACTCATTCTAACTCTAATTAACTTTTAGGTCACATTATACTAAAACTAATTACTGCTTTGACAGAGTGCTATTTATTTATTGCTGGCCAAATTTTCTCTTAGCAAAAAGGTTTACTGGTATCATCCTGCTTTAAGATTATTATGTAAGAGGTAAAAGTAATTTCAGTATTATTGTGTGTTGTCATATATTTCTGTAGCAATATATTGTACTTCAAAATGTATTGTCATTGTGACCGGTCTAGTTCTTAACCAACAACTGATTCATCAGGCTTTTGTCATGTTTTATTAAAGCGAATTAAATGCAGTTAGAATGGGTTTCTGAACAGTAAATTAGCAATAACTGAATAAACAGTCTATAGACATAACATTAACAATCATGTGTAGTTACATACATACAATATTTGAGTCAAATATTTACACTGTTAACACTTAAAATTAATGACGTGATGTATGTGATGTCAGTTGGCACTTTTGAAACGTTCCTTAATGTAAATTGTTGGCACCGAATCAAATCTTTTTTTTACATTTT